TTAGAATGAAAAACTGAGTTTAGCAAGATTACAGGTACAACATCAAATTGTAAAAACAAATAATATTTTTCTTTACCAAGAACAAACAATTGGAAATTTTAAATATTTTGTTAGTATTAAAAATGCAAAATGCTTAGGGATACATTTAACTAAATAAACATGTGCAAGATTTGTACACTGAAAACTATAAAACATTGTTAGAAGAAAGTAGACATGACTGGATGGAGAGATATATTGCATTCACGGATCAGAAGATTCAGTATTGTTAAGGTGCTAGTTTTCCTCATATTGATCTATAGATTAAACACAATTGCAGCCAATATCCCAGTAGGCTATTTTGTAGAAATTGAGAAGCTGATTCTTAAATTCGTAATAGAAGTACGAAGGACCTACGATAATTAACGTTACATCAAAAATGAAAAGCCAAGTTTGAGCACTACCCAGTTTCAGACCCAGGGCATTTGGGCTCACCAAGACATGTGTCTCAATTTGGAGGAAGCTTCTGGAGATAAAGCGTGAGTCTGAAAACACGAGGAGGGTCAGTCAGATGTGTGGGAGGTCCTGGTCTTTGCTCACTGCTGTGTCTTCTGTTCTAGACCAGCCTTGAGGACAAGATGAGGCCTGAAAGGATGTGTGCAGGTGAAGTGGCCTGTTCGAGTTGCTGTCGGGCCATGGTAGATACTTCTTAGTTTTTCAGAATTTTACTAACACTGCTCTTTTACTTTTTTAAAATGTTGAAGTCTTACAGAGGGTCACCTGTTTCCTCTCAGACATAAGAGAAATTAGAAATATTTGAGTTTTAATTTTAAAAATGACATTCCTAGGCCGGGCATGGTGGCTCACGCCTGTGGTCCTGGCACTCTGGGAGGCCGAGGCAGGCGGATCATTTGGGCTCAGGAGTTCGAGACCAGCCTGAGCAAGAGCGAGACCCCGTCCCTACCAAAAATAGAAAGAAATTAATCAGACAGCTAAAAATATATAGAAAAAAATTAGCCGGGCATGGTGGCGTGTGCCTGTAGTCCCAGCCACTCGGGAGGCTGAGGCAGGAGGATCGCTTGAGCCTAGGAGTTTGAGGTTGCTGTGAGCTATGATGACGCCACGGCACTCTAGCCCGGGCAACACAGTGAGACTGTCTCAAAAAAAAAAAAAAAAAATGACATTCCTAGTAGTCCTGAACATTTAAATAACTAGTTGTGTGGATGTTTACAAGGCAGAAAGAAGAAGGCTTGGAGCATTTCCTCCAAGGAGGGAGTTCTCCAACTTGTAAATTGAGTGAATTAGATTGGACTTTGGCCCCACAATCTATCTGGAACTTGGACAGAATTCTGATTGGCCTGCATGTGTCTCTTTCCCTTGATATCCAGGGCTGGCTCTGCCTTCTACTTGCTCTCAGTCTGTTTTTATTTCCTCTCAAATTAGCATAGTTGCTCTCTGTGGAATGGCCCCCTTCTGGGAGGGTCTTGTCATGATAGCAGCTGGGGTGGTCAAGGAGGAAGGAGACAGAGCCCACCACAGTGATGCCCGTTCCTCCTTTCCGCAGATCTTACCAAAGTGAGGCTTGGGCACAGTGCATGATGCAGCACTGTGGGCTGTTACAAACCAGCCCTGGTGAGAGGGGTGCCCAGGCTGTAAACGGTGGGGCAGTTGGTTCTCATTTCTAACAGCAGAGGCTGCTTTTGCCTGATTTTGAACTTTATGAAAGGGAACCATACTGTGTGTATTCAGTTGTGTCTGGCCTTTCTCTCACCCTCACCTTTGGGAGATTGACCCAGTTGCGGGTGAGTTGCACAGTCTCACTGCTTTAGATTCCTGTGTGTACTTTGCGTGCCTGTCCTCCTATGGGTGAGTATGTGGTAGCTTCTGGTTTGGGCTGTCATGAACAGTGCTGCTGGGAGCGCTGCGTGCATTCTTGGTGCGTGTGTGTGCACTTCTGCTGGTCTCCAACACTGGAAGCCCTGAGTCCCAGGATGGGGTGTGTGTGCAGCTTTAGGAAATATTAGGTCATTAAATATGAAATGTCTGATTTCAGATCAAAAGTTTAGTTTATTATATCTCAAACAAGAAGCAGTATGCACCTAAACTGTCCACAAAGTTTTGCCATCTTAAGGGTAGCTTCTTTATGCCAGCAACAAAGAAGCCTGGAGAGTTAGTGACAATGAAATCGTGAAAGGCGTTTTCCACAGCTTCTTGAGAATTGAATATTGTTCCTTGCAAGAAGTGGTCCAAAGCCTGGAATAAGTGGTAGTCACTCGGTGTAAGGACTAATGAATGTGGTGGATGACAGAGAGTTTCCAGGTCCATCCTCTGTAGTTTGAGCAACATTGTTTGTGCAACACGTGGTTGAGTGTTGTCTTGAGAGAGGATCGGCCTGTCTCTATGGACCAATCTCGGCTGCTTAATCACAAGCATCCTCATCATTTCATCCAACTGGTTGCAGTAGAAATTGCTGTAATCGATTGACCAGGTCTCATGAAACTGTAGTGGATAACACCAGTGCTGGACCACCAAACAGACACCATTAGCTTTTTTGATGAATATTCAATTTTGGTCTGTGTTTTGGCACTTCATCTTTATCCATCCATTGTAGCGAACGCTTGTGAGTGTCAAAAAGAATCCATTTTTCATCACGTGTAACAATATGGTATAGAAATTGTTGGCCTTTATGTTGTGACAGCAAAGAAAGGCAAGCTACGAGATGATTGGTCTTCCGACACTCGTTTACTTCATGTGGAACCCATCTATCCAGCTTCTTTACCTTGCCAATTTGTTTCAAGTGGTCCAATATTGTTAGAATAGTAACGTCAAAGCTTGCTGCTAATTCACACATAAGTTGAGATGGATTCGTTTCCACCACAGCTTTCAGCTCATCATCATCCACCTCGGTCTCAGATCGTCCACGTGGCTCATTTTCAAGATTAGAATCACCAGAACAGAACTTCTCAAACCATTGACGTCATTAGCCACATCCTTCCCAAACGCTTTGTTGATATTTCCAGCTCTCTATGCTGCATTGGTTCCACGACAGAAGTGATACTCAAAAATAACACGAATTTTTGACTTATCCATGGTTTCACAAAAATAGCTCTAAAAAAAATGTGAAAGATAATCACAAGCCAAACCATGCATTGAAAGAATAAGGATGTACCTTCACAATAAAAACAAAACAAGAAGTATCAAAGTGAAATGTCAGAGATACCAACTGTCAAACTTAGTACTTAAGGAAATAAGACATTTCATACTTAATAACAGTGCCAAGCTGAGGGTTGGAGTGGGTTAACCTGTTTAGATCCCACCAGCAGTATACGAGCTGTCTTCTTGCTCCTCATCCTTGCCAGCACTTGATAGATTTTGTCTTTCCCATTTTAGTTGTTTTGTTCTATGTACTAATTTTATTTAATAATTAGCATTTCCCTGATGTCAGTGAAGTTGAGCACATTTTCTTTCATGTTTTTATTAGCCATTTAGATATTCTCTTTTGTAATTAGATATTCTCTCTTGTAAAGTATGAATTCAATTCTTTTGTCCATTTTTCTATTGGGTTATCTGCCTTTTTCATATTCGTAAGAATTTTTATATGTTCTGTACATGGTCCCTTGTCAGATTGTTAACACTCATATATATGTGGTGTATTATGCATATTCTGCATAGCAAAAATTTCCTACTTTGGACTTGCCTTTTTTATTCTCAATGGTTTCTTGATAAATAGATGTTCTTAATTTTATTACAGTCCAATTGATTCATTCTTGTGTACTTTTTTGTGTGTGTCTGATTAAGATATCTGTGCCTACTGTAGGCCACAGAGATTTTCTACACTTTTTTGAAAAGCTTTATATTGTTTTACTTTTACTATTTAGATCTACAGTTTATCTAGCATTAAGTGTTGTGTATTGCATGAGGTACAGGTCAAGCTTCATTTTTTTTCATACGTACAGTTGATCCTTGAACAACTTGGGGGTTAGGGGTGCCAACACCCCCTTCAGTTGAAAATCCACCTATAACTTTTGACTCTGCCAAAACTTAACTAATAGCCCCCTGTTGACCACAAGCCTTGCCGATAACATAAATATTCAATTAACACATATTTTGTATGTTATATGTATTATATACTCTATTCTTACAATAAAGTAAGCTAGAGAAAAGCTTAACTGTTAAGAAAATCGTAAGTAAGAGAAAATATTTACTATTCACTAAGTTATATGTGAATCATCATAAAGGTCTTCATCCTCCTCATCTTCACGTTGAATAGGCTGAAGAAGAGGAGAGGTGGGTATTGCTGTCTCAGGGGCGGCAGAGATGGAAGGAAGTCTGTGTCTAAGTGGACCTCCACAGGTCAAACCCATGTATTTCAAGGATCAGCTATATATCTGGTCAACAGAACACTGTTTTTGAAAAGGCTGTTCTTCCTCATAAATCAGGTGATCTGTATTATGCATGGATTGTTCTTGAGCGCCACCCTGTGTGAGGACTGTGTTGTGTGCTTCACGCATGTTGTCTTGTTTCATTCTCCAGCAATTGCTGGTTGCATGTTGTCTGTTCACAGCTGAGGACACTGAGTCTCAGGTGTCAGGCTGCGTGTGAGGGCAGAATGGGTACCGTGTCCTCCCATGCACCCTCCCAGTCCTCAAGTGCTATGGCCCCTCCAGGTTCAGCGTGTGCCCACTGGCCATGTGTGTGGTTGTCTTGGGCTGGATCTGGCTGGCAAACAGCTTCTCCCTGCTGCCCAGGAGGCCTGGCTGGCCTTGCAGCTATGCACGCGCTGGGCACAAGGAGCAGTCTGGGGTGCTCAGCTGCCTGGGGGGCTCACCGGTGCTGGGGTGTCTGCTACTCATTCTGGCCAGCCACTTGGTGGTGATAGGGTGGACTGGGTTGATTGTAATATCGTATTTTCCAAATTGGAGCTTAGACGCGTCTCCTCTCTCACAGTGCAGCGCCTTCCCATCTAATGCTGGAGTTGTCCTGATGATCTGCTGACGTCTGTCCCCTTGGCTTTGAGGAAACAGATGGCAATGTCCCAGGCACAGGATTACGAATGCAGGAGTCATAATGCCGACGTGCAGGAGTCGAGGATTTCGGGATCGAGCACTAGGTAAGGAAATACCATCAGCATCCACTGAGTTGTCCAGGGCTCAGGGAGGTGGGAGGGAGCGATCCCTCCTTTAGAATAGGCACTGTGGAAGCAGGGAGCTTCATAGAATTGTGCTTATGCCCTCATCCTGTGTGTGCGACGCCCCTTGCACACAGTGCTGCTTGGGCTTTAGCCAGTTATTGGTGCTTCTGAATTTGAAAGTCCCATACCCTCCCTCAGATGCCCGTCCTGGGCACGGCCTCTCCTCTGTCCCCTCCACGCAGCATCTGCCCCCTCTCAGGTGGACCTTGCAGCCTGGGCATGACATGCTACACCCTGGGTGGCTGACTCCAACTACTTAGAGCCTCTCTGGGCATTGATCCACGTAGATGCAGGTAGTCATAGGTCATTATTTTTATTTGTGTAATTTGTAACTTCTTATTTGGAAATAATGCTTACAGAAGAGTTACAAGAGTGAAAGCAGTCCTGGGAGTGCTTGTGCACCTGTGCTCAGAGGCTTGCGTTGCTGGCATTGCTTGCCTGCTGCTTTCTTCTGAACCCTCTGGTGCGGGGTTGGTCGCAACACTCAAGCGTGTGTCCCTCAGGGTGTTCTTGGGTGTAGCCCTTGACACTTGGCATCTCTGGTGAGCCTGGCAGTTGGCTCGAGGCTTTGGTCTGCTCTGCTGCCCGCCAGCCGTGCCAGCTGGTCCCCCGCTGTCCTTGCTCAAGTCTCCCCTCTCTGCCCAGCGCAGGGTTCTTCTGAGTTGGATTTTCCTTGGCTGCTGTCTTCTTAACCATTTTTAATCTGGAGGACTTCCACAGCCTTTCTCTGTCTTTGCAACATTGACATTTCTTGAGCTAACAGTTGCCCTTTTTTAAATAGAGCTTTCCTGGGCTTGGGTTTGTCTGGCAGTTTCTTAGCAAGACACCACGTGGGTCATATCAGCCCCTCTGGGATCCCATGTCTGCAGACATGTGCTGTCTGTGCCCCTCATTTGCTGATGCTCCTTCTGATCACCCGGTGGAGGCTTTGCCTGCTCTAGCTGTGGTGTGATTCCTTCCTCCCCAGCAACCTCTGAGCATTCTGGGGTCTGTGCTCTTCAGTTTCAATGTTTTTGTTGTTTCTAATGTGAGCCAGTCTTTCCCAGGCTGCTTGCTGCAGAGCGCTGGCTCCAGCTCCCACGCTCCCTCCATGCTGTGGCTGGCACTCGACATTCCACCTGAGCAGGAGCCTGCTCTCCCATTGTTAGTTTGGTGTGGACTCATGAGCTCCTTTTTGTTTTACGTGGTTTGTATCATTCCTGCACTGAATTACTTTGGTGCTTACTCTGTGCTGGCTCCCATGTCCTGATATCCCCATCGTTCTTTTGAGTACTTCTTTCTGGCATAACTGCCCTGCACAGCCCTGGAATCACCTGTTTCCCTAAGGAGCCTGGTTCCTTCAGGGAAGACTGGTCTCAAAGAACAAGGTCTGGTTTTCAGCACGCACATTGCTCCTGAGTGTATTTGCTTTTCTGTCAATTAAGTGTACAGAACTAGAAAATTTGTGCATGTGTATGCATATGTATGCACACATGTACACAAATGCACATGCACCCTATGTGCACACATATGCACCCCCAGTTCCAGTCACGTCCCATACAGAGTTATTTTGGTCTTCCAGTCCATCATGTCTCTTCCTCCTTGGTGACAGCCCTGGCTCCCAAGAACACCAATGCATTTACACATTTATTCATCTGTATGTATGAAATTGTTTCGGAATTGCTTCACTCATTCCACTTAAAAAATGTACATACTAAAAAAAGTTGGGATTCATTTGCATTCCCCGCGTGCACACTTCAGCCAGGAATGAGGAACGCAATCTAATCTTGTGTTCATAAATTACTTGGATTAGTTCTCTCTTTTTTGCACTTCCTGTGGTTATGACATTCATTGAAATATAATTGGGTCCATTTGTTTCAGTTAGTTTTGTTCTTCTCCCTTCCTATTCTTACTGATATAATTTTTTTAAAAATCTATAGATCATTCAAATGCTTCCATAAGTCAAAACTCTATGAAAGGTATATTCAGTAAGGGCCCATACCCTTTCCTGTGCCTCCACCTACCTGTTGCAGGTAGGAAACTTCTTGTTTTCTGGTTTATCTCTTGTGTTTCTATTTGTGTTTCCAGATGTTGTGGGATTTTTGTTTTTTTTTTTATTTTCCCTTCATTCTTACACAAAAGGTATCAGGATTTATGTGTTCTTTGTGCATTTTGCTTGTTCCACTTAACAACATCCCTAGAAACCACTGCCTGTCAGAACATCAAGATCATCCCCCTCCTTTTTTGAAGCTTCCTGGGTCTCTGTTGTGTGTACATCACAGTCTTGTGTTGGATGTGTAGGTCGTTTCCAGTATTCTGCGGTTATAAGTAATGCTGGAATTATTAGCCTGTGCTTATGTAGTTTTGTGTTTTTGGAGGTATATCTTCAGGTAAATTCCAGACGAGGGATTGCAAAGTCGAATGGTGACTATATTCAGTGCCATTGCCATGTGCCCTCCACAGGGTCCTGCATGCTGTGCCCACCCTGCACCATCTGCCCACTGCCTCCACTGAAAGGTGCTCGAGTGTGGGTATGGGGGTCTCAGTGCAGCCTGGGATTTGGGCTCTGATGATGGGTAAAGCAGGTATCTTCCATGGGTTACCACTACCTTTGTGAAATTCCTGTTTTTACCTTTTGCCTATTTTTCTATAGTATTTTTTATCTTTTGTTGCTCAAATTTGTATCTAAAGAACATGAGCCCTTTGTCTGTGATTTATATTGCAGATGTTTCCACTAACATTGTCCCAAAAAGCCACAATCTTTTTTACTTTTCTTATTGTGGGTTTTTCCATGTAAGTTTTCGATTTTTTTTTTTTTTTTTTTAATAGAGACAGGGTCTCACTCCTGCACTCAGGCTGGAGTGCAGTGGTGAAATCATAGCTCACCATAGCCTTGAACTCCTGGGCTCAAGAAATTCTCCTGCCTCGGCCCCCCAAAATGCTGGGATTACAGATGCGAGCCACCACACCTGGCCTGAATTTTTATATAGTCAAATTTATCAGTCTTTTAGTGCATCTGGATTTTTAGGCACTTTCACCCAGGTTATAGGAGAATGTGCTATATTTTTTCATGGTGCTGGCATAGTTTTGTTTTTGCCTTTTGATCTCAGATTCACTTGGAATTTATTCTTGTGTGTGGTGTGACAGGTGGCTCTGACTTGTTTGTTTCCCATGACCCTCTGGTTGTCCCAGCACAATTTATTAAAGGCTGCCTCTGCCCTGGTCTGAGACATTGTGTCCCCTGGTCATGTCCTGTGGTTCATGCATCATCGTGTGGCACATCAGTATGGGGTAGAGTACAAGCAGTGAGCTCGCCCTCCACCAACGCCCACCTGGGCTGGGTTCCTGGTTTCCCTCTTACAGACAGTGCTACAAAGGGCCCTGCAGGTAGACGGTGCTGCAGAGAAGGCTGTGCCATTGTCTAGCTTGTGAGGTGGTGCCAGGTGCCTTCTGGAGTGCCCCCTGCCTGGTCCTTCCCTGACACAGTGCCCTGGCGCTGGCTGGAGTTTCCATCTTGGCCAGCAGGGAGGGCTCCAGGGTTTAGCATCTGTTCCCCTCACGTGTCTCAATATGTTCTTGATCCCTCAGGTTTCTTCCTTTGGGAGTTACCTCTGGTCCTTGTTTTCTCTTAACCTTTCTGGTGTGTAGACTTTTCTGGTTATTCTGGGTGACAGTCACTTATTGATACATACATGGAATATTGATTTCTGTCAGTACTCACATGTCCATGTTGGTTTTGGGGGTTTTTGGTGAACAAACATGTTAAGTTCCAGTGTCCTCTGTCTCACCTGCCTTTTCTCTGTGGCTTTGTGTCCTAATTAAGAAGTGCTTTTCTGACGGAGGTCCTGAAGTGCCTCATGTATTTTCTTCTTAAAGTTTTAAGGTTGCCTTTCCAACTTAATTAGCCTGTTTTCCACATGGGCAGTCAGCAGCCCCAGCGCTGCTGGTGGGATTCTTGTCTCATAGTTTGTGAAACCCTGTGTCCCCTCAAGTGCAGATCTGCAAGGGGCTCTCTGTCCGCCCATCCACATGTGGGGTCCCAGCCTGGACACAAGACTTATTCGTGCCTTACTCGACTTCCTGGCATGTCTTGTCTGGTTTCCCAAGTCCCCCCACCCACTGCTCCCTAGCACTTCTTTTCAGAACTGTCTCAGCTCTTCCTTTATTTGCTCTTCATAGAATTAGTCTGTCCCTTGCCCAAAACAGATGTACCACTGGGATTTTGACTGGAGGTGTGTTGAAGTACAGCTGCTTTGGGGAGACCATCTGGGGCATGGCAGTGTGAGTCCCCTGTGCCCCACTGAGGCATCTTCCCCACTTCAGGTGCCACCATTTGCTCCATGAGGATCATGCATCCCCTGCTGGCTGTGCATGCGGTTCTGTGTGCTTGCCGTGTGCTCTCTCCACACCCCATTCCTAAGGCCTTTAACATCCCCACCATCTTCCTGTGATCCGCGCACTCAAGGCTGATGCCACCAGGCCTCCTCTGTCTCCTCTAGGGCATCAGCATATCAGGGATGGTGAGGCCTGGGCGTGAGAAGATGTAGCCTCCCCCTCACAGTGGCTTCGGGTATCACCAAGCTGTGCCCGGGCTGTTCAAACACAGTTCCGGGGATGTGTGGGTCACTTGGGCTGGGGTCTGGAGGAGGAAGCAAATCAGGGAGGGAGGGGCTGGCTGGCAAGAGCCTGCACACTCCCTGTTCTTGCCTGGTGTGGGTGGCCGTGCAGACAGGCATGGATCTACAGGTCCAGAAGAACAGTTTGGATGTGGCGGTCAGTCCAGTAGTACCTGCCAAGGCTCTTGGCAGTGCTGATTGTTTCCTCTGTCTGTGCTTCATTTCTTTTTTTTAAATTATTTTTGTTGTTTGTTTGAGACAGAGTCTCACTCTGTTGCCTGGGCTAGAGTGCCGTGGCATCAGCCTAGCTCACAGCAACCTCAA